GAGAAATCTGAGCCCCTGAAAACTTGAACCCAATTTTCTACTCTAAACTGATTTACTCTACAATGCCTACAGCTACAGAGGTCAAGAAGGGCTTCTTTTATGGGCTTGTTTGTTGGGCTGCATTGCCCATCACTGCATGTTGGGCTGCACTGCCACAAAGCAAGGCATTTTGCCTTCTATTGTAGTTCAGTTTGCACCAACATATTGAGTTGTGCGCTGAGAAAAATCATAGTTTCCTGCATAGTTTCCAACTTGCTGTAATGCATTGTGGCATGTAATCTAAATGTATGCCTGGGCATGTGTAGAAACATGTGCCGCAAAGCCTCATTACTGCTTAATCTATGGTAGACTGCCTCAGAGGAGGAAACCCTATATAACCCCTATATCCTGTTTAGTTTTGTGCACATCAAAAACTGCAGTTGTGGCTGTACGGAAGAACCAAAGAGGACTTGACATTTATTTTTAGGTCCATATTCTTCATCTGGGGCTTCTCCAGTAAACAGTGGAAATCTGCCCTGTTACACGTCCACTCCGAACATTCTACCCAGACTTTCCCAGCCTTGCCTGACCAGGGGTGGAACAATCAGGGGGACCAGCCGTGGAGGACGCATCCTGACAAATGGCTATCGCTGCCAGACCACCTTCAAAGGTAAGGTTTTTGTTCTGTATTCCAATTGTTGGAGGGTTGCTATATTTGTTCTACTTGGTCCCACTGTGTAAGAATGCAGCCATTCTCTTGCTCGCTCACTCCTGAGTTGATTAAGGACTCTGGATTTTTAGTATGCATAGAACAGTGCACATGACCACAAATAAGTTGCAGTGTCTGTTCAAATCAGTGTAAATGAGGGGAAAGGGAAGGTTCAGGGGCTCGGCATGTTAGTGGCACTTGACCCATGATTTGATAAAAAGTTCTTTATCAAGGAATCTACATTTCACATTAATGCTGCCAAAATTGGTGTGCTTTAAATTGCCTCCAGCTTTGTTTCTTCTTCCAGGGGCTATTTTGCTAAAGCTCAAAGCCCCCGAGCAGCAGTAAATATTTAGGATGTCAGCAGATCAGCCTGTAGACTTTTGGCAGTGCCAAAACTAGAGCAACTGAGCATTTACCAAGCAGGTTATGTAGTGTATTACTATGAAAATAAACACCTACATTGTTTAAAATGTTTTACAAAGCTAAACCTGCAAAAGGGGCCAGCCTGTAGTGATCTAGCAGGATTTAATTTTCTGAATAAAGTTCCCCTTTAACATGGAGGGACATAAAAAATTAGTGTTACTAAACCCAGAACCCAGCATTCATGATATCTGTTCTCCCACAGTACACACATGGAAATGCTTATATTTTAGTAAATATAAACTGTTAAATACCTTTTCTCATCAGCAGTTAGAGCAGTCTTGTGACTTCTATCAGTGTCCAGCTGAGCATTGGTTAAAGCTTACAGGAGTTTTTCTTCTCACTACCCTATGAGATTGTATAATCCCTGACCCTCTGGAAAGTGCTGATTGGTTCTGTATTGATCACATGCACTCTCCCAAAAAAGAAACCCTAGCAATACACACCAAACTGAACAGCCTTGGGGACACTCCACATGCTCAATCAGGAGATGAAATGGGGAATGTGGAAGGGGAGGATCCAAAAAGATGGGATCGTACCACCTTTTTACACAATGCAAAGGATTAACCCCTTACATTCCACAGGGAGTATAACAAGCATGCTTTACTGCATATACAGACTGATTTTACTGTTGCAGGTTTAGTAACACTGTCACTTTTAAATGAGCTTCATACAGGATTACAATTCAGTTTAGCTGAATAGTTTACAACACAGTGTTCTGAAATGGTCACCAGATTTTTTTTTAAAAATTGCATTAGCAGTACAGCTCTGCAATACAATTACTTTTTGCCATGTTTATCCTTCCAAATATGCTTAAAGTACAGGAAAATACCTATTTATCTGCCAGAAATCCAGTGTGTTCCTTGCTCAGTTTGAGCTGACAACCCAATACCTCTGCTGCACTGAAACCCCAACCAGTATTGGCAGACCTGCCTGCTGGACAATAAAACCCTGCCTAACCCCTGCTCCTATCTTGCATACATTGCATACATTCAGAGCTTTGGATAAGGGGGTACCACCAGTCCTGTACGGGGCCCAGGCCAGCAGGGGGGCCCAGACAGCTGGGTGAATCAAATGTGGGCAGGAGGGTGATCAGCACGGTGGGGGGGGGGGGCAATTACTGGAACCGATCCCCTGTACGGCACTCTCTGCAGCAGCTAAAAGCTGGCTTCTCTCCCCTACTGGCTTTCAGCTGCTGCAGAGAGCCATACAGGGGATCGGTTCCAGTAATTGCCCTGCACCCACGACTATCCCTGTACACCAGATTTTTCCAGGCTCCCCTGTGTTCCCCCCCCACCCCCACAGTATTGCCAGCTTCCCTCCTCTCCTTCCCACCGGCAGCTGCAAGCACACAATAGGATCCTTCAGGATGGAGAGTGGGGGAAGGGTCCGGTAAATGTCACATTTTACCAGCCCCTTCCTTTCCTGAATGAACACAAGTAGTAATCAGTACGGACCACTCACTGTGTTCATTCATAACTAAAGCATATTAAGCTGTTTTTGGGTGGTGGGAGAGTGGGGCCGTATGATTTTTGGCTGTATGGGGACCTTTGGTTTCTAACCGCAGCCCTGCATACATTGATCACAGCAAAACATTGCAGCGGTCTGGAATCTTAAAGCATTACTAAAGCTAAAAATGTTTTACCATAATGCATTCCTTGCATTAAGGTAAACTTTTTTTTCTATCTCTCTACCCTCCCCTCCCTGTGTGAAGGGGAAGAGGGGAGAATAGATCAGCACTGTGCACAGCTGTAGATCTTCTCCCCTCGCTTCCTCTTCAGAGGGACTCTAATGCAGTGAGAAGGAAGTGGTGGTGGGACCAAGTCTCGCTGTCTGCATGTGTCTATGGAGTGCAGCTCCATAGACCCACAGCTTGGAGCAAGCAGAAAGTGTCTTCAAATCCCCCCCCCCCCCCCCCATAGGTTGCCACCATACTTCCAGTACAGCCAGCCATAGAAGATAATTTTAAAATTTCTTTCCACTAGGCTTTTTTTTTTTTTTTTATGCCCAAGTCAGTGTTCATGAGGACTAAAGGGCCTATGTCTAGGGTCAATTGGCAAGTAATTACTTTTTTCTTCAATCACATGTAGTAGTTAATGCAGTAAGGGGGGGTGGGTTAAGAAGTGGAAATACAGGAGAAAGGGCGGTAAGGATATCACAAATATGACGGTAATGGGCAGGCATAGAAATCCAAACTGCAGCCCTGAAGAAAAACAGCGGCGCAAGAGCCTCTGTATAATTGTGGCACCCTGTGGCTTTGTTGTATAACTTTCATGTCTTGACTCTCTCCCTGCAGGTCCAGAGAGCTTCAGAGGAGCCCAATGTGTCCCTAATGGAATGTACGGACATGGGTCATGCCCTGGGAGAGACTTTCCAGTTACCCAGTTTATATCACGGGTAGGGATTTTTACTTGCAAATATTTAACTTGGTGATTAAAATATTCTGGCCTTTTTTAAAGGTTGAATATCGTACTCTTAAAAACAAAGGCTCTTTTAAAAAAATGCTTGGTAATGACAAACTGCAGAGCTCTGAAGGGTCTCCCTTTGAAACGCATCAGCCTCACTTTTGAGTTTACCCTCGTGACATGACTCACACTGGCTCTACACTCCCTTGTTCCTTTGAGGATCTGTAATGCTTCTTTTACATCCTTGTTTGTGAGTGTGCGTATATATTTTATTTAATAAAATCAGAATTACTGAAGTAATGTGCAAGGTTTGTGTGCTTTCTTTTTGCTTCACGTCACATGATGGGGCAAATTTGAGGAGGAAGGCACTGGTGATGAGCCTACCTAGGATGCTTCCAAGGCCCTGGTTAACATTACCAATGCCTTACTCCAGAAATGGCAAAAACAATTTTACTCCAGAAGTAAGAACAAAAATTTAATGAATGTAAGATTTCATATCAACGTGCAGATGCATGCTGGGGTGGCGGTGTTGTTGTGTTTTTTTTTTTTTTTTGTCTGTGTGTGAAAGGTCAGCTTTAAGCAAAAGCCCTCAAATGCAATGAATTGTTTTTAACTAGTTTAACTTGGCCGGAGGGCGGCTGGTGAAGAAATTTGGTTTAATTGTTTGACTGAACTGCTGACTTTTCTAGGATGCAAATTCCCATCTCTGTCACAAGCGAGGAAGTGTCACTCCTGGTACACGATCTACTGCAAGAAGTGAGTACCAATATTAGTCTGCAACCTAAGATGAAAGTAAAATTAGTCATTGTTCAAGTTACTATTAATCCAATTGGCTAGCTGAACTATTGCGGTGGCCCATAAACTCGGATATTTCAGTAGTGCGTCTATTTATTTTTTTTATTTAGTTTTGCACTGAAAGTAATTACACATTTGAAAATCTGGACTTTTTTTTTTTTGTGTGTGATCGGGTTCATAGTCTGTAATGCACTGCTAGGGATGCTTCAAATACAGTTGCATGTAGTGGTGATCAATGGGACAATTTGTGCAATACCTCATTTGCTATACTGTTTTAAAACCGTGCAATAATTGCTGATTAAAGATAACTAATTTTGCTTTTGTGCTTTTACCTCAATGCTTGTTAATGGTGCTTTATACTGTCTGCAGTAGCTGACTAAAATGTCTTGTGACTTACTACAGACTGGAACGACTCTCAGCTTGCCAGTCCAGAGCGTGAGGAAAGTTTCAACAGTACAGACTCTGGCCAGGGGGATTCTCGCAGCATGACGTCAGTTGACATGTCCATGAGCAACCAAGCTGCCACCATTCTTCCTGTTCATGTCTACCCCCTCCCCCAACAAATGAGGGTTGCCTTCTCTGCTGCCAGGACCTCAAATTTTGCTCCGGGTACCTTAGATCAGCCAATTATCTTCGACCTCTTGCTCAACAACCTGGGAGACACCTTTGATTTCCAGATTGGCCGTTTCATGTGTCCCGTTAATGGCACATATGTCTTCATCTTTCATATGCTAAAGCTGGCTGTCAATGTTCCACTGTATGTCAATCTGATGAAGAACGAAGAGGTAATGGTTTCAGCTTATGCCAATGATGGTGCTCCTGACCATGAAACAGCCAGCAACCATGCTGTCCTACAACTCTTCCAAGGTGACCAGATATGGTTACGGCTACACAGAGGAGCAATTTATGGCAGTAGCTGGAAGTACTCCACTTTTTCTGGGTATTTACTCTACCAGGATTGACTAGGCAGTTTCTTTGAACTTGGCCCAGCAGATGAGCAGATTGGGTAATGGTGAATGGTTGCTTGTTTACCAATGCAGATGTGATTTGGAACTATAAGCCCATCAAAGTATTTTAACTGGATAGGCCAGTGTTTTCATTTGGTCTAAACTTGGATGCAAAGTTTGTCATCCCATAATGCTTTGAATGGTGAAAAGCTTGTTTTTTGTTAAATGATGATTCTGGTGTGTAATAAGGTCTGCTGGTGCTGTATGGAGTTGGACCTGCTTTAAATAAACACTGGTTGCAATATTCTGTCATTCTTGGCTGTTTAATTTTATACGCTAATCAAGAGTGAACAAAAAGTGACAGTAAAGAACTGGTTACTTTCTCAATCTGCTTAAAAAAACATACTTGCAATAAAAAAAAAGAAAAACTGGCTTCCCCAGTGGCACCTGGTGTATATGATCAGCTCAGACATTAAATTAACAAATGTTTTATATGTGATTTGCTAAAACAATGAACTTCTGCTGCTCCAGTTTGGTCTGTTTAAATATACTAATGGATGTACTTCAGTTCATACAGGAAGCTAGGTGCACACTGTTCTGTACTTTGCAATGTGTTTTAAAAAGAAGTTTAAGCATGGGCATATGTGACAGATATTGCAGATCTTGCACAGATATGCCAATTCTACTTCCAACTATGGAATTGGTGCTAAATAAACTAAATTATGGTGTTTGTGGGTAAACATAAGAAGTAACCTTATTTGCTACCTCCTTGCTGGATAATTGAGCCGTTGCATATGCTTTAAAATAAAAAAGCCCTTTTCTAGTTTAAAAAAAAAAAAACCCAAAAAACAAACTTTCAAGTGTGAAAATATATGTTGATCCTGACAGAAATCCATTGCTTTTAACTCGGTATCAATTGTACTCATCCTCTGCTGCACTTTAAACAAGTTATCAATCATACCAAAGGTATTTGAACTGCAAAAATTTTCCCCCTGTTAGAGCGAAGAAAAGGTTCTGTAATCTACGCTCTGTAATAGAATTTTCAAACATCACTGTGTTCCCACCTGACAGCTGAATGTAAAAGTATTGACGGCAATTAAAAAAAAAATAATAATTTCAAATGGCATGGGGTCCCCCCTCCCATCCGTACCAAGCCCTTCGGGACTGATAAGGATTTTGAGGGGAACACCCATGCCAAAATTTAAAAAAATGGCATGGGGGTCCCCCCAAAATCCATACCAGACCCTTATCCGAGCATGCAGCCTGGCAGGTCAGGAAGGGAGAAGATGAGCTAGTGCCCCCTCCTAAACCATACCAGGCCACATGCCCTCAACATAGGGGATGCTTTGGGGTGGGGCCCCCCAAAGCACCTTGTCCCCATGCTGGTGGGAGATGAGGGCCTTTTCCCCACAACCCTGGCCTGTGGTTGTGGGGGTCTGTGGGTGGGGGGCGCATGTTGATGGCATGTGGCCTGGTATGGCTCAGGAAGGAGGTGTATGCCATTTTTTTAAACTTTGGCATGGGGGTTCCCCCAAAATCCATACCAGACTGAAGGGCTTGGTATGGATGAAGAGGGACCCCACACTTTTTTTTTTTTTTTTTTTAAATTGCTGGCAATTCTTTTACATTCAGCTGTCAGTGGGGAACCCTGACAGCTGAAACAATGCATGGTTTTCACTACTAAAATACTCATGCGGTATTTTTTTTTTTTTTTATTGGTGAATTCAAACTTTTTTAAATGCTATGCAGTAAGATGCCGCTTAGTGAATTGTGCCCTGTGTCAGATGTCTTGCGAATTGCACCTGAAATTGGCGGTTCACCTTTGAAATCGTGAAATTTTATAGTGAAGTTGCACAAATTTCAAAAAGTCGGGCTTGATGGGACTGGGGCCTTAAGAGCGATTTATTCCTTGGGGCAGCAGCTGGTGACAATACTGGCACAGGTGCTCTGATGGATCGGCATACCTGTGCTGTTCCATCAGATCTTTTTGATGAAAAGTGGTGCAAACACTTTTTTTTAATAGTAGTGGCTTTGTAGAAGCCTGGGTGTGTGTTAGCAAGGTTCCTTTAGGCTACGGGGTGAAGGGCTCTCCAGGTTGTTCCTAGTACCTCCCCCTGCTCTGGAGAAGTTTTTATAGAGCTGGTGTGAGTATGGGCTGTTCTACTTATTTGGAAATTGACCAATCCCAGGCAGTGGGCATGGCTGTGTGGGAGATTACCCCTACTGGCCAGGATCTCTTATTGATGGGCTAGTCAGGTGGAAGACTGAGTAAAGAAATGCTGCTGTGGAGCCTGGGTGGGGGCCCCAGAGAAGGAGGGGTGGTCTACCTAGAGGCTGTGAGCTGGAAAGACACTAGGTCAGCAAGGGAGGAAGCCAGCCCGGTGTAAGGTCTGAAAGCAGCTTCACCTTCTTAAAGCTACAGGAACTGGACAGTGAGTACGTTTATACCGCCTGGACCTACATGGGAAAGGGCAGTTAGAAGCCATACCTAGTTCTCCCTGGGACAGCATTCTTATGCACCTGACTGCCATGAGTATCCCAGGGAAAGGGATTCAGAGACATGAGATTTTCATCTGGGGTCAGAAGAAGGTTAATTAAGAGGACTGAGTGCTCTTAGAAAGGACTTTGCTGATCCGTTAAGAGACTTTCAACCCCTGGCAGTGGCTGAAAGTCCAGAATTGAATTTTTCTGCCTCTTGCACATAGGAAGTTTGTCCTCCCAAGTTGTTTAAGTTCCACTGGGCATCCCATATTCCCCTAGACCCTGTCCAAGTTGTTTTAACCTCTAAGGCTGGCCATACATTATACAATTTATCTGGAGATTTTTGGTTTAGCTTTACCAAAAACCATATAATAGGAGGACAAACCTAAACAACACTTTCAGTTGTATCCAATTAGGCAGGCCCTTGCACTACAGAGTTGAAGGTAAATCTAAAAAAAAAATTAGGCAGAAAATTGGAAGATAATTGTATAATGTATACAACAAAACAAAGCTCATGGATAGTCTATTGGCTTTGGATGCAAGGGTGGAAAATGTATTGCTTGGCTGTGCAGGAAAATGCTGCCAAAACCAGCAGCCCCCCCACAATAAAAACCAGGATTTTAATCACTTGCCATTCTAGCCAAAACTTAAAACATGTTTGTGATTTTAGTGACCCTTTAAATGTATATGTAGGTAGCTGTGGTGTCTCCCTTGTTGCAAGTGCATACTAGGGCCCAACTTGTGTTCTTGCACAAAAGCCCACTGTATTCTGAACATGTGCCTGACACAATGGTTTCCTATCAAGTGGAGGAGGTTGTCACGAATGCGACATCAGACCCCAGCCCTTCTCACCAAACTCGTGACTGAAGGACTAGCCAATCTAAAACTGTGCTGTCATGTGTGTAACAATGCCACACCTAGCACAACAATTTTCCAGCTAATGGACCACAATCTATGTACCGGCAGCCTGAGCGATTGTTACTGGGTCAGGTTAACTATGCAATTAACCCTTCACACTGTCACCACCTCCTTTTTGTACAGAGAAAGGGGAAACTCTGTGATATCAGCTATAACACTAATGGTTGAGGTAATTGTCTGTATAACACGGTCACCGCAGGCCGGTTATACAGAGGGTTAAACAAACACAGTAGCGCTCTTTTAGAGGCAGGAATTCATAAATTTCAATTAAGAGCTATAGAAACAGTTTAACACTTTCAGAAGGAAAGATTTATTACTGAAAAGTCAAAAAGGGGTGCAATAAAAATATTTACAGAACAAAGATGTTCACACACACTCACACTAACACTAACAGGAGGTTAAAGTACTTGCCAATCAGCCTTGGGTGTGCAGATCAAATTTCAGAGCGAAAGGGCACGGATCTCCTCAGGTGGTACTGCTGTTAAAAATGGGGAGAATTCTTCAACTTCACTCTTAAGCCTGACAGCCCATTTTTTTTTAGTTCTCCAGCAGGGGGTGTCTCTGAAGGCAAGGACCAATACCCTGTTTAGGGCGTGGAGGTCTGGGCAGAAACCTCAACTAGAGCCAAAATCTCTCCTAACTCATATTTTGGCCCATAACTTTCCATCTGCACAAGTGACATTCCACCCGTGGGTAGATTATTATGCAGACACGTCTGAGGATTGATTAGATATAAAATATGAAATTATACACTGCCTGGTTCACGAGATCTACTTTTCTGCTTTCCTATGTATTTGAGACAAGATAGTGACCTACCAAACTGTTCATCTTTTTGTGGCCAATCTGACGATATGTCTGGTTTTTATGGAAGTCTCTCATATTCCAAGATATGAGACATAGGGGGAAAATGGATTTTAACAGGTTATCTGGTCGTGTTTCCTTGAAATGTTCTTTGAACTCCTGGGAAAGCTTGCCTCATCTTATACAAGGTGTTACATTTTACAGGTTCTTTGGACAGCCACGGCTCCCTTGGGGGTCTTATAGCTCATAGCACCCCTGCTGGGCTCTGGCCTGTGACACTTTTAACACACACACACACACACACACACACACACACACACACATTCTCTCTCTCTCTCTCTCTCTCTCTCTCTCTCTCTCTCTCTCTCTCTCTCTCTGCCATATGTCACTGTGCCTCTCAGAGGGAGGGGGGAAAGTATGAGGGGAGAAAATGGAGATTCTTAACAAAATGGAGGCTGTGTCCTGCCTCTGGTGCGCATGTTTGCGACAGAGGTAACCGATCTCCCAAGATGCATTTTGAAGGCATTGAGCTGCCTAGGCTGTTTATGACCAAGAGGTGGTGAGAATCCTTTTTTTTTTTTTTTTTTTTTTTTTTTTTCCTGCAGTCTGCTGCTTACAGTATTTAAAAAAATATTTGCAAACTTGGTAACATAGCATTTAACAGATGCAAATATATATATTCTATTATAGAGCCATGCATGGCCTTTGTCGGTTTGTTTCAACTTTGTGTCCTCTTTGATAACATGACTTTGCCTTTGTTCTTGGTATTTTTTTCTTTACAGCGCCTGAGTAAGAAAACAGTTGAAAATGGTGGA